TAATAAACCATCTCCAAGTAGCTTGTTCCTGTGACGACAGCAGTTACAAACATTAAGATGAAAAATGAGGCTTTCAAATAAAAGAACACCATACTTACTGTGAAATATGGAGGAGGCTCAGCTGTGTTTTGGGGCTGTTTTGATGCGTCTGGTATGACGCACCTTGAATCTGTGCAGGGCACAATGAAATCTAAAGGATATCAAAGAATTCTGGAGTGAAATGTACTGCCTACTGTCAGAAAGCTCTGCCTCAGGCACAGGTTGTTGGTTCTCCAAAAGGGTAATAACCCAAAACACACAGCTGAGGTGAGGTTCGGTTTCCCCCACGCTTGTACCAATTACTGCTGTACATCATTAACTGCATGATTGATGCACACTTTTATGGGAGTTCTTCTATATCGATTTTAATAAATAATTTAAGCTATTTTGTACAGAAAGCACTATGGTCTGTTTTTTGCCTTTGAAGAGACTTGGTGAAAGAAAAACAGTCTGAGGGTTAGAGTTTTAATAGAGAACCATCATTGGAGGAAGGTGCAGTTTCCACATGTTGCCATTGGAGATACTACAGTATGTATACCCACTGTGTAGTGAATTGGCTTGTTTGACCTTTTGTGATTTATAGGTCCAACTATAAAGGTGAGCCCTCTTCCATGTGGGCGTTAGCACATATATTATCAAGTATCCCTGGTCATGGAGCACAAAGAGTCATAATGTAGTAAACTCCCCATTATCTGGCATTTAAGCAACTGGCACTCTCAAGCAACTGGCAAAAACAAAATCGAGGACATATGTCCTCGATTTCTTTTGCCGGTGGCTTGATGCACACTAAAAAATGTCAGTTGCTTGGTACACACTAAAACTTTTGTTAGCAACTAAATGTATTTAGTTGCTAACGAAATTCTTTGTTTACATTCTGCTGTTGGCTGTGACTATATTCCGCGGTCGGCAGCAGCAGGTAAACAATCGGAAGCAATAGCCAGCCTGCTATTGTCTATTTCAAATTGCAATAGCCAATAGCAGGCTGGCTATTGTGCCCACCCACTAAGCAGAGGAGTGGACCTGAGAGAGAACTTTCATAGTTTCACCTTACTGAGTACAATTGCCTTTCACATGACAAGAATCAAGTTCCTAGAAAGTACTATTTGCAAAAATATAATTATCTCTGCGGGATATTCGCATTTAAAAGATGCTTGATAAACTATGTTTTCCCCCTTTACCCTTTTATGTTTTGGCACAGCATACAAAAATGAAAAATAGTAGGGTGATAAAGAGTTTGAATGTAACATGTTCACATGAAGGTACTCTATATCACAAGATGTACAATAAGACTGCATAGTCAAAAATAGATCCAGGTAGCTACATTTAAAGTAGACCTTGCAGTAGAATGCAAGGACTGCATACACAGTCCAGACCCCCTACTCTGTAAAAATTACCTGGTTTAAGTAGGTGTATAAGGCAACTGTAAAGAAAAAAAAGTTAGTTTTACTTACCTTACCCTGTCTTCCATATCGCTGGGCCACTGGCCCTCCAAGGAGATTCATTGGGAATGAAGAGCAGGCCAAATCTTGTGAGTAAATAATCTAGTCCATTGCAAGAGAGTATTCTCACAAGGTTTTGGCTGCTCTGTATTCCCCAGCATATAGCTGGAAGAAGCCTGAAGTCACCCTTGCATATGTGCTGTGGATGGACGATGGGGTGTAAGGCGAGAATCTAACTTCTTGCTTTACACCTACTAACACCGGGTGAATTTTTACAGGGGACGGAACCTGGACAGTATAGGCAACCCTTGCACTCTACTGCAAGGTCAGCTTTAAGTAATACTATATTCCACTACTTAGGCACACAGTATGTTTTGCTACTACAACATAAATTACATATTGACCTTTGTTATTTTTAAATGTATGATGTTCATGTGAAGTAGTGCAAAAAAAAAGCAGCTCTAGAATGTCAGCCCCAGTCTCAAGAGCTCAGCTCCAATCTAATTTCAACTCCACTCTAGAAACTCAGCTCCAGCCCCTATCTAAAAAATTTGAGCAGTTTCCTCCAGCCTGAGGGTCTGGAGCCCTGCCAACCTTAATTTAGATTGAGAAGGCACATGCGAGGACCTTTTGTAAATCTACAGGCATCTTTAGCCTTTCCTGCTCCTACTGACTTTTCTAACAGACAAGATAACACATTATTTTCATCTCCAACATCTACCAGTAACCAGGTTTGACCATGCCAGACAAAACAATAGGTTATCCTGTTGCAGCTCATAAAAAAAACAAAAAAAAAAGAGTTGCTCTAGTCAGAGCTTACAAAAAGGGCTGAGAATATTCCTTTCACCTATATGACAGTGCTAGGCCAAAGACCACTGGTGTCAAATGGAGTGAATCACATGCTCCTCCATACCCTGATGTATCATCTTTGTTACCAGTAGCTGAATAAAGCAGCAGGGAGGTGAAAGTAATGTATGTATGTTTCACTGAAACCCTATTTTCAGCAAGAACAAAAGATTATGCTCAGGACAAGGATATAGATTGAAATGACTAGTGACTTGGATAGGCCAATCCCGTGGACTGGCAAGAATCTTAAAATGGGTACCAAGTGGAATATTCAACCTAGAGTAATAAAAAACGGCACACTCCATCATCCCTATAGATGTGCAGCTTTTTTAAATCAGAGATAAAACAACCAGTGTAATAAAAATTAGACTCAGTGCAATACTACGTTCCATGCAACAGGCTACCTGCAACTTGGCCTCATTAACAGGAACTGAAGGTGAGCATTTTGGAAAATCCTGTCAACAGAATACTATGGCCAATGGAAGTGAGATCTGAATACTTTTGGCAGTTCATTACCATGGTGTCCTTTTCTCTACATTGCATTCTTAATTTTTATTATACATAATGCAACAAGGTTGAGTGGGAACAAAGCTAGAGACTAAATAAGGGAAATCCCACTGATAAAGGCCCCAAGAAATAGTAGAAGCCAGCGGGTGACCTATATCTGAAATTTATTAACGCAGTTTTATTATAAATAAAGCACATCATCTTTCTTTACAAATGGTGTAGAAAGTGTTTTTTTTAACTGTTAAAAAAAATTCAACAGTATTTATAGCCTTCTGGAAAACAATACACAAAGAAATACAACAATAGAAATACCACCACCCTGTGATTTTGCTCTCATAACAATGAAGATAGTATTAATGACTGTAGTTGCTTAATAAAGAACTCTGGGCACAAGTTTTAATAACCCTTGCAGTGGGGCTTCCCCCACACCACCCCCCGCCCCCCTGGAAGGGTTAACTGCTTGTTTTTGCCTAGGGTAAAAGAAAAAGAGTTATACTCACATGATATTTGGAGCCGACTGGTTCTTAGACTGGTCCCCCTAGCCTCTCTCCCCTTCTGCTGCAGTGGACAAAGTATCTTCAAGTCATCACATCCAATAGAATGTTTAGAACGTGAGGACACCGAGGGACCTACCATTGCTGCAGCGAGAGGGGCTGGAGGGAGCACTGCTGGCACCAAGGATTGGGTGAGTAAAACCTTTTTTTTTTAACCCTAATGAGCAATTAACTCTTGGAGTGCAGTGCTAGCCCCGCTGTAAGGGTTAATAAAAGTTGTGCCTGGAGTTCTTTTTTAATTCAAAACAGCCATACACAAAGAACCAGATTTAAGGATGTGTGTAGTGAGGCAAACATGGGTCTGATTTACTGTGTTCACATCCTCTCACTCCACAGTGCTATAAATCAAGTCCACTTTTCTTTTCTGTTAATTATTATTTGAACATATTTTCCTATAAAGATCACTGGAGCTAATTTATAATTAGGTGTCTAAGCCTCCAAGACCTGTAGATGGTATAAGAATACACATGTCTTCTCAGTGTCTTCATTTCATCACCTCTTTCCATTTAGCACATGAAGCAGAAAGCA